GGCGGTAGAGCGGTGAAGTGGAAGCGCTCGGCCCAGAAGAGCGGGCCTGGGCCAGTCCGTGGCGCCGTTCGCGCCAGCAGTGCGCCGTCAAGCCAGAGCTCTGCACGCACACCAGTCGCTGCCCGCGGAAGCCCTTTCGCTTCGTGTACCCACACGCTCAGCCACGTCTCCTCCCGCTCCACGTTATCCTGGAGACCGAGTAGAGTGTTAACAGAGGGAAGGGGCGTGGGCAGCGCGGGGCCTCAAGCCCGTGCTCTGTGCCCGCAGTAAGTTCGCTGGGCCCGAGGGGAAGAAGGTGGGGTCACGGGGGTCCCCATGTGGCTACGTGGAAGCTCCTTAGTTTTTCAGGGGTCAAGCGCTCCGTTACTAAGGAGGTTCGAACCCACCCAGAGGCACCTTGGAAGACAGGCCTGGCGATCTCCTTCCAAAAGGTCATAGCTTTGAAACCCAATGGAGCAGTTCTACTTTGCACAGACAGGGTTGCCAAGAGTTGGAGTTGACTGGACGGCAACTAATAATCTGAGAAATGGGGCTCCCGGGTCTGCAGGAGCAGCCTCAGAGAGGGGGCGTGTCGACTCTCTGTTGGTGTGAACAGGGCCATCGCTGAATGGGAGGGGAGGGGCTGGTATTGGACAGGAGGGGGCGCGTCTCAGTGGTTGCAAAAGACGTGGGCGGGGCAGGTGTGTCTCCTGCAGAGACTGACGCTGGCGAGGTTTGGCAATGACGAGATTTGGCAATGACGAAAGGAAGGGGCGGTCCCTGGGTGCTGGGTGGGACTTCTGCGGAAAGCAGACCTGGCTGGGCTGGAACTGGCGACGAAGGTCCTCGATCCAGCGGTCCCTCTCAGCGGCTGAGCGGCAAGAGAAGCAGCGGCTCCCTCCTGCCCACGTTACCTGTTTGGGCAGGAGTCCGGGGATGGGGTTGAGGCCAGGGGTGGAGACAAAGCGTTGGGATTGAGACCTAGGTGGAGGGTTGCCAGCGCTTACCTGGAAGCAGTGGGGTTCCCCCAGCAGGCTGGGGTGCAGCGGCCAGACCCTCACGTCCTGCTCGGCACCCAGGTCTAGCTCTGAGAGTGTGGCCAGCGATTCCCGCGAGCCCAGAGCATTGGGGGACCTGGTGAGGGGTGAGCAAGGGCAAAGGGTCATTCTGCACGTGCACACCCTCAAGGGTGTAGAGAAGCCAGGATTAACTTGAACCTAAACTGGATCCTGTTTCTTCCCTCCCTCCAAGCCCCCTATGGCTCTTCAGCTCAGGATAACCCCCAAACTCCTGGTGATGTCTTGCATGAACCTACATAGTCCAGTCCTTGCAACCTGTAGACCTCATCACCCTCCACTCCTTCACTCACTCTCTCGACTCCAACCGCATCTGCTTTCATTTTGTCCTTTGAACATGCAAAGCTCATTCTTGCCTTTTGGCCTGTGCACATGCTGTTCCTTCTGTCTCGAATGCTTTTCCTTGCCCCTTTTGGCCTGGTTAACTTCCACCCACCCTTCAGATCTCAGCTCAGGAGTCACTTGTCAGGGAAGCTTTTCCTGACACTCCCAGTCTAGAGTGTTGATTTAGCTGTTCTATCCTTATGGACTGAGGGCTGGGTCCACCACCGAGAGTCAGTGATCCTAGTGTCATGCAACTTGGGGCAGGGCACAGAGGAGGCAGCAGGAGGTGTTTGATAAAGATCTGAATGAAAGGTAGAGGAAGGGGAGGAGGCAATGCTGAACCCCAGGCCCTCTGACCCCTCAGAGACTCTTACCCATCCCGAGGAGTATTGGCTCCCAGTTCTGACCTGGCCTTTTTCTTCTCTTTCAGCCTTTTGAGTAATCCCTGTGGAGAGGGAGATGTCACCTGGATGGGACCCAATGTTTTGTCCTCAGCTCCTTCTTCACCCCCAGGGTCTACCTAAGGATCTGCTGGTTTTAGAGGACCACAAGCTTAGGCTGCTTTAGCAGGAATAATAATAATAAGGCGAACCAACAGCTCCTGTTATTGAAACATCTAATCATGTTTTTCTGATTCTTCATTGAGTTCTCAAATACAGCCTTGAGAGGGAAGTTCTTTCATTGGTTCCATGTGACAGATGGAAACACGGAGGGACAATGAGCTGCTCAGGACCACACAATTAAGAATCCCCTTTGAACTCCAAGGTTCTTGGAGTCTTTAATCTCTCCCCTTCCCATCCCTCCCATCTCTGCTGACTATCTTACCCGAACATTGTGAACCTGGTTGGGACCAGCAGCCTCTGGTTCAGTCCTTCCAGGTGTCCGATCTGTAGGTGGTCATGGGTGGGAGATTAGGGCTTTGGGATCATCTTAGATTTTGCCTCACCTTGAGAGTCTCCCAATCACCCCAGTCCTCTCCACTCCTCAAGCTTACCTGGATCCCTGAGGTTCCCCATGGCTACTTGGATGCTGGTCTCAGAGCTTCCACTCCCCACCCGGGGCCGTCGGATACCCTGTTCCCCCAAAGGAGAGGGCAGTCAGATAAGGGGGGCAGGCAGGCAGGCATGCAGAGGGAGAGGCAGACCATTTTCCAGTCTTTGTCACATCCCTCCCCTCCCCACCCATCTGCTTCCTCTCACCTCCTCCTCACCCCCAAGTAGCACCAGTCTTCCATCAAGCAGTGTGAAGCCCCCGATGTCCCAGAGAAGCACATCAGGTGCAGGGGCCTTGGGGATCTGTGGGGCAGGAGGCTCTGGTTCTGGCTCCAGCTTTGGCTCTGGGCAGAGGAGGAGGTACTGGGGACCTGGGAATCCTTTCCTCTCCCTCAGACCCCCTCTTCATTTATCAAGATTTACTAGGAGTTCCATTCCAGATGCCTTGCCTTCTTCCCACCACCCATGTCAGGCTGTGTGACTTGGTCAAGTCTCTACCCCTCTCTGGGCCTTGTTCCCAACAACCATTTGACTCATGGGGAAACTGAGGTTCAAGGAGGTGAAGAAACTGATATGGAGACTTGAGGGCTGGAGAGCAGGAGGCATCTAAGATGGATAGCCAGGCAGGAGATGATGAACTCAGGCCATTGGATATGAGAAGAGATCCATTGGAGCTGAAAACCATTTGGCATCTGCAGATTTTCCCACCCTACTATGTAGCCAGTACTATGTCAACTGTTCCACATGCCTTTTCTCTTTACCCCTCCAACAGTCCTATTATAATCCCCTGTTTCACTGAGAACACCATGGCCCAGAGAGTTTGAGTGACTTGCCCAGGGTTACACAGCTTGTGAGTGGTTGAGCCAGGCTTCAGACACAAACCTTCTGTCTCTTAACCAAGACAGTGGTAGGTTCCAGAGATTGTAATACAAGACAACAGCTGTGGTCCCCTATGTAAGTAACCAATCTAAAGTGGAAACTGTTCAAGAGAACAGTAAGTGGTCAGGCTGGAGGGCAGGAGAGTAGGAGCCAGCTGAGATGGCTTTCGAGGTAGAAGAGGATGAGCCCGGTCCCTCAGGTCTGAGAGACCTGTGGAGGCCGACGGCCACTTGGCATCTGGACAGTGCTACTGTAGGTCTATTCCTTGTCTCTTCTCCAGTCTGGGCCCCCCACATCTTGGCCATTCCCCTCAACTCTCAGGGCCTGGGTTAGGTGGAAAGAGGGAAGAGAGCAGCTGGGCCCCAGCCACTTCCTGCTGAGCTTTCGCACTCCCCACAACTTCCTGTGTCTGTCGGGCTGATGCTCTGGAGGCAGACAAAACTCGAGCATCCGGCCTCCCAGCCCGGCTCAACCCAAGCTCAGGGTGAGGGACCCACGTACCTGGGGCCTCCGGCTCGGGCTCGGGCTTGGGCTCATGCTCCGGCTCCAGGGGTGGGCTCTTATGCTTCCCCCAGAGGGTCTTGGATAGCCGCAGGCGGCTGGTCCGTGGCTCTTTGGGGGGCGCAGAGAGGACACGACGGAACAGCGAGCGAGGTGCTGGCTGGCTGCTGACTGTGGTCTCCGGGTGGCTCAGCGCCCTTCCCCAGCCTGTGAGGCGGCCCCAGCGGAACCCTCCAGCCCCCTTCTCACCGCTACTCCCTGTGTGCCAGCAGTAGGAGCTCAGTGGGGTGGGGGCTGTGAGCTGGGTTTGGGAGGCCTGGTGGGGCGACGGTGGGTCCATGGTGAAGGATCCCCTGGGGAATGAAATGCTGACAGTTCTGCCCGAATGCCACCCTCCTCTCAGTTCCCTCCCCACTCTCAGCTCTGCCACCATGGACCCCCTTGGGGGCGCACATACTCCCTTCCCACTGAAGCTCCCTTACCTCGGTTTCCTGACCAGCCTTAGACTCAGCAGCGTCTGCACCCTGCCTGGCTTCCTCCTGCTGAACCCAACTCCACGTGACCCTGTCTGTCCCACCCCACCCCACAACCAGGCTGAGGGCACAGCAGGGGCAGGATGCTGAAGGGAGAAGAGGTGGCAGCAGGCTTCTGTCCAGAAGGACCCAGAGTCCCTCACTGACCAGGAGACAGCCTCTCTGAGCCTCAGTTGCCTTCTCTGCAAAATGAGCGTGGGCTGGTGAGAGCATGGAGCAACTGGAACTCTCATCCACTGTGGCAGAATGTAGAGAGATTCCACGTTGGAAAACTGTGTGGCCTGCTCTACTGACATTGAACACAACACTCCTCTCCCGCACCCAGCAATCCCACCGTGAGCTGCCCAGCAGAGATTCCTGTTGATGTTAGTTGATGTTGAGTCGATTCTGACTTATGGTGACCCCATGGGTGAGAGAGTAGAACTGTCCCAGAGTAGAGCTTTCTTGGATGTAATCTTAATAGAAGCAGAACACCGGGACTTTTTCTCCTGAAGTACTGCTGGGTGGTTCAACTGCCATTTAGGTTAACGGGAACACAGACTGTTTGTGCCGCCTACAAACTTTTTTTTTTTTTTAAGTAGATGAATAAATAAATATATACCACTTATTGTCATCGTATATATACTGTTGTTGTTGTTGTTGTGTGCCGTCGAGTCAAACCTGACTCATAGCGACCCCTCCTTGGGGGTATCACTACGGAAGTAGGATTGCCCAACCTTCCTTCTGAGGAGTGGCTGGTGGGTTTGAACCACCAGCCGTCTGGTTAGCAGGCAAGTGTCTTAGCCACTATGCTACCAGAGCTCCCGTATATATACTATATATGTTATATGTGCATATCTATATGTGTACACATATATATACAAATATATACTATATATTTTGTTATTGTTAGGTGCTGTTGAGTTGGCTCCAACTCATAGTGACCCTATGCACAACAGAATGAAACACTGCCTGGTCTGTTATATATATATATAATATATATAATATTACATATATATATAATTATATATACAATTATATATATATATATATATATTTGATGACAACAGGTTTCCAAGGCTGTAATCTTTATGGAAGCAGACTTCTGTTAACCTGCTGGTGGGTGTGAACTGCTGTATTTTCAGTTAGCATCCGAGTGCTTAACCACTATGCTACCAGGATATTCTCTCTCTCTCTCTCTCTATTGTTGTTGTTATGTGCCGTTGAGTCAGACTTGACTCATAGCAACCCCCCCTTGGGTTTCTGAGGCAGTATCTCTACGGAGCTCTGGTAGCATAGTGGCTAAGACATTTGCCTGCTAACCAGACGGCTGGCGGTTCAAACCCACCAGCCACTCCTCGGAAGGAAGGTTGGGCAATCCTACTTCCGTAGTGATACTGCCTCGGAAGCCCAAGGAGGGGTCGCTATGAGTCGGGTTTGACTCGACGGCACATAACAACAACAACAACAATCTCTACGGAAGTACGTTGCTCAACCTTCCTTCCAAGGAGTGGCTGGTGGGTTTGAACCACCAGTCTTCTGGTTAGCAGTCAAGTGCCTTAGGCACTACACTACCAGAGTGTATGTGTATATATATGTGTGTGTGTGTGTGTGTGTGTGCATATATATATATAGAGAGAGAGAGAGAGAGAGAGAGAGCTCTGGTAGCATAGTGGCTAAAGCACTTGACTGCTAACCAGAAGGATGGCGGTTCAAACCCACCAGCCAATCCTCGGAAGGAAGGTTGGGCAATCCTACTTTCGTAGTGATACTGCCTCGGAAACCCAAGGAGGGGTCGCTATGAGTTGGGAACGACTCGACGGCACATAACAACAACAACAACATATATATATATAATTGTAATGGGTATATTGTTATATTGTTGTTGTAATGTGCTGTCGAGTCGGGTCACTACAGAAATAGATTGCCCCATCTTCCTTCCGAAGAGTGGCTGGTAGGTTTGAATATATGTGTGTGTGTGTATATATATATATAGCAAAAATTTGTCATTTCAACATATTTTACATGTATAATTCAGTGACATTAATTACTTTCATGGTGTGCAACTATCACTATCCGTTTCCAAGTTATGCTACCTCCCTTAACAGACCCCCCCAGGAAATGACCCCCCCTTTCCTCCTCCCTCCCACCCTTGGTAACCACTAATAAGCTTTGGTATCTATACATTTCATATAAATGTATGCTATTTGTAATAGCCCCAAGCTGGCAATAGCATAACTGTCCATGTACAGCAGAATGGATACATTGGGGTCCCTCCACAATGGAGTACTACTACACAGCAGTGAAAACAATCAAATTACTGCATAGCTCAGGCGAATCATAAACCCAATGATGAGCAAATAACAAAACAACACCAAAACAAAAACCCAAGTAGACAATCAAGAGTTTAAACTGAATGACTGTATTTATGTAAAGTTCAAGAGTAGGCTCAACTATGTATAACAAGACAGAATAGTGACTGGGAAGGGATATGAGGGGGGCGCTGGGAGCTGGTCATATTTTATTTCTATTTTTTTATCATTACAAACAAAACAAAACAAGAAAACCCAAACCCACTGCCATCGAGTGGATTCCCAAGGCTGTATGTAAATCTTTACAGAAGTAGATTGCCTCATCTTCCTCCCGCGGAGCAGGTGGTTTTGAACCGCTGACCATCTGGTTAGCAGCCAAATGCCTTACCCTCTATGCTACTAGAACTCCTTATACTTTTTATCATTTTTGAGGTGAAATTCACATAACATGAATTTATGTGTTCTGTTCCTGGAGCTGGTACTGGTTGCAGAGATATGTTTCTTTTTGAAAATCCATTGAGCTACAGAAACACTTTTTATGTGCTTTCTGTATCTCAGCTATACCTCAATCAATGTTTACTTGGATAAAAGATGTGGGTAGATGTTGTTCTGAGAAATATGTGAGTCAGCATGAAAGTTAACAGAATGCCTGGAGCCAGAGGGGGGTGGGGGATGGTTTTGGGCCAGCCAGCCCCTCTCTCTCTGTATGTGACCCCAGGCAAGTCACTTCCTCTCTCTGAGCCTTGGTTTCCTTATTTGTACAAAAGGATGAGAATATCAGTTTCAAAAGGTTCATACTGTGAGCCTTCTTTTATTCAACAAGTGCTTCCTGGGGGCCTATTATGTGCTGGGGGCTGGAGAAGCAAGGGGAACTAAAACTCAGAGACCACAGGCCGGTGAGGGAGACAGACTTCACATTTCTAGCTGGACTGGAGTAGTGCTAAGCAGAAGTGATGCTCTTTAGGCTGGAAAAATCAGGTAGGGTCTCTTTGAGGAGATGACATTTGTTGTTGTTGTTATGTGCCGTCAAGTCAAACCGGACACATAGCGACCCCTCCTTGGGTTTCCAAGGCAGTATCACTATGGAAGTAGGATTGCCCAACCTTCCTTCCGAGGAGTGGCTGGTGGGTTTGAACCACCAGCCGTCTGGTTAGCAGGCAAGTGTCTTAGCCACTATGCTACCAGAGCTCCTGGAGATGACATTAAGAACCTGAAACAAGACAAGGAGCTGACCATGGGAAGAGTGTGCCAGGTAGAAGGAACAGTTTGTGCAAAGGCAGATATGACCAGAATCCATGGGATGGGGCATGGGGAAAGGTTGCACAAGACACACACACACTCACACACACATACACAGCTGCCTCAGATGGGTCTCAAATTCAGAAGGGGGCACTGGACTTAGTTTAATGCTGTGCTGTTGCCCTCTAGAGGACCCTAAGCGGTGTAAGTAGTTTACACTGGTGGCGTAGTGCCTAAGGCATTTGACTGCTAACCAGAAGGTAGGTGATTCAAACCCACCAGCCACTGCGTTGGGCAATCTACTTCCATAGTGATACCGCCTTGGAAATCCAAGGAGGGGTCACTATGAGTTGAAATCGACTCGATAGTGAATTGGTTGGTTTGGTTACTAACTGAAAGTAGAGTCCCTGTGTGGCCCAAACAGTTAGCACTCACCTCCTGCCTGATGATTGATGGTTTGAATCCACCGAGAGATGCCTCGGAAGAAAGATCTGCTGATGTACTTCCAAAAGGTCATAGCCTTGAGGGCCCTATGGAGCATGGCTCTATTGTGCACACATGGGGTCACCATGAGGCCCAGTCAACTCGATGGCAATGGTTAGTTGTTTTTTTCATTTTGGTCACTGTCTTGAAACTCCTAATTTTTGAATATAGGGCTCTACCTTTTCATTTTGCATGGGCCCCCCAAGTTATGTAGCCTTCCTTTAGGAGGGGGATCTTTACTGAGAGCCAAAGACCTTTCTGCTGGAGCCACAGTGTATGAGCAGTTACACACCTTAGATGTGCTCACCTCATTCGTATCCCCTCAGGCCACCCTCTGCTGTACTCTAGCAGAGCTGCTTGCTGTCTCCCCTCAGGTGTATTTCTTCAGCCTTTACCATTTCCCAGTACACTGTCCCCCTCCCTACTCCTGGGACCTGCATCTTTGCCTAAGGGTTTTCTCTGGCAGCTAGAGACCCCACTGCCTATTATGGATTGAATTGTGTCCTCCCTCCACATACCCCAATAGGTATTGAATTCTGGTCCTGCTCCCCTTGTACTTGTGGATGTGATCCTGTTGGGAAACAGGGTTTCTTTTGTTATGTTAATGGAGTCATACCTAAGAAGAATGGATCCTAAACCTAATCACTTCTGAGCTATGTTGTTGTTGTTGTTATGTGCCATCGAGTCAGCCCTGACTCATAGCGACCCCTCCTTGGGTTTCCGAGGCAGTATCACTACGGAAGTAGGATTGCCCGACCTTCCTTCCGAGGAGTGGCTGGTGGGTTTGAACCACCAGCCTTCTGGTTAGCAGTCAAGTGCCTTAGCCACTATGCTACCAGAGTTCACCAGAATAGACACAGAGACACACCCATGGGGAAGACAGATGCCATGTGAGGATCGTCTACAAGCCAGAGAACCCAAGGAACCAAGGAATGTCCGAGACTACCCACAGGGAAGGAATTGGTTTGGATTTTACCCTCCAGAAGGTAAGAATAAATTTCTGTTCTCTAAAGTCACCCACTTGTGGTATTTGTGTTATAGCAGCACTAGGGACTAAGACACTACCTATGTGACAAGCCACCCCAAAGTGTCAGTAAATTAACAACTCCTTGAGAATAGCCCTGAACCAATGATTGAATAGGTTGGTGAATCAGTATCCCAGCTCCCTTGGCCTTGGGTGGGATGACTCTGAGGAGTCTGCCCTATGATGTCTGTCTCCCTGAGGTCTTCAGGCAGATTGACCCCAGTTGCCCACAGTGGGAACTCGCTTGATAGCACACCCTATACTGGCCTCCCTCTTTCCCCTCCTGCTACTCCCCTACTGCTCTACTGGGGTTTCCTGGGATCACCTTCCAAATAAATGATAAAAAAACAAAACAAAACAAAAAATTCACTGCCATTGAGTCGATTCCAACTCATGGTGATCCCCTTTGGATTTCCAAGGTGGAAATCTTTACAGAAGTAGATTGTCTATCTTCCTTACATGGAGTGGCTGGTGTGTTTGAACCACCAACTTTCTGGTTAGCAGTCAAATGCCTTAGGCACTATGCCACCAAAACTATGTGCACTGGAATTTCTGTCTTAGGACTTGCTTCTGAGGAACCCACCTAAGTCAGTACTTGGTAAACACAGATGACACATGCACATAGCTCTTTGCATGGTCTCTTTATTGGGGGTCTGTAGCTGGCAGGATTGGTGGTGGCTCCCTCCTGGGCTTCCAAGAGGCCCTCCTAGCAGCTCTTGGCTTCACATCCTAGAAAAGGAGAGAGTGTGAGACTTGGTGGTGGGAGGCTAGGTATGCTGTTCCCAGGGTGAGACTCTGGATGGGGTAGGGAACTGAATCTCAAAGTGAAGGGATGGGTACGAAGCTGACTGCAGGCCAGGGTGCGTGGATTGATAGCTTAATGAAATGGAATGGCCAAGTGCAGGTAGCCTGAGGTGTGGAGACTGAGTCCAGGTGCCATTACAGACGGTTGGTGGGAGAACATTAAGAGGCTGAGGCTGTGTTGGCTGGGCCTAGGTTGCTCCAGCATGAGAGTCAATCAAGGGTCAAGGAGAGAGGGACTAGACAAGGGTCCCTGGGGCTGTGATTGGGCAGAGGATCAGCAACACAGCATCAGGGGCTGGAGAGAGATTGGGCAAAGCGGTTTTAGGTAGGGGCTCAGGGGCAGGCCACTGCCATGCAGGCAGGGTAGGAGAGCAGGGGCCTGGCCAAGGTTGTGTGGGCTGGGATGAGATTGTAAAGGCACAAGGGTTGTGACTTGGGTACAGGCCATGCAATCCAGGTTGAGGTTGGGTGGACAGAGGTGTTGGAGGCTGGGCAATGGACAGAGTGCCTACGTCAAGGGTTCAAAAATGGGGGTGGCGTATGGACAAAAGTGGGGCTGAGGTTGTGCAGGCGGAGGTCTGTGGGCAGTGACTGATGGCTGGGCTGAGGTTACCCGCATGAGAGGGCTGCAAAGGGGGCCAGGGTCCTGGCTGAGGTTGCGTAGACAGGCAAGGGTCAGGGACCACGCTGAGCTTGTGCGCGACAGGGACTCGGGGCCGAGGTATTGCGGACCCCGAATGACTCACAGAGGCGAAGCGCGGCCAAGTGCGCAGGAGGTTGAAGAGTGCGTCGCCCGGACACTCGGTCTTCACAAGCTGGCGGTGGCCAAGCACCTTGTAGTCGGGTCGCAGATAGCCCGAGCGCAGCGCGCAACGCGGGAGCTCGTCACGCATGGTGCGCAGCGCGGCCTCGGTGGGCAGCTCTGCGGTATAGTTGCCCACGAAGGCCACCCCGAAGCCGCGGGAATTGTAGCCACGCGTATGCGCGCCCACGCGGTCCCAGCCTCTGCCCTCGTACACGTATCCGTCCGAGCCTACCACGAAACTAAGGAACAGAGGCCAGAGGCACCATGTGGAGTCAGGGAGGCAGGCCCTATCCTAGATCCTGCCCCTGAGCCAGGGCCACCCCCAGAGCTTGTTCGGCCCGAGTACACCGGCTCCGCCGGGTTCAGATTCTGCCGCACTCGGGGCAGAGACCCGCCAGTCCTCTGGATCTACCTCTGAGCGTCGGCCACGCCCCTTTGTAACAGAGGGCGTGTCTCAGGGCCAGCTCCTGCCCAGTTCAGACCCTGCACCTACCTTAGGTCACGCCCTCATCACTACTAGGTCCCAGCAGGCCCAAGGCCTCGCCCCTTCTCTCAGGCCCCGCCTCTTTCCCTAGTTCCCTCCCTCAACCCGAGCATCTCACAGGCTAGCGATTTCTAGTCCCCATTAAGTCTGTGCCACTATTGCATGTCCGGTCCTCCTCCACCCTGGCTCCACTCACACCAAGTTGTTTCTCGGCCTTGCCAGTTCAGCTTCGACCAAGCCTCGCCCCTCCCTCAGACTCCGCCCATCCAACCTCGGCCCCGCCCCGGCTGGGCCCTGCCCACCTATAGCCGATGTCATCCCAGCCGCGCGTGTCCTGGTGGAAGCGCTGCATGGAGCGCATGCTGGCAGCGCATTGCGCGAAGTCGGTGCATGGCGGCGCGGGTATGTATGTGTGATGCACGTACAAGAAACCCAGCGGCAGCTTCAGCGGCGTCGGCTGGCCCCGGTATGGCGCCGCGCCCCAGCGGCAGCGGGGGTGGATGGCCGGACATTCTGGAAGCGAGTCCAGGGCTGGGGTCAGCATGTGCTACCCCACATGCTGCTTGCACCACCGTAAGAAGGCATATATGGGTCATTTCTCCAGCCCCCTGCCAGATATAGGGATAGTCTAGTTCCCTACCTCCACCCTTAATGGGATCTAACTTAACCACATCTAACCGTGTCCTTGACCTGTTCAGATATCTGCCGTGGCTTTCACACCTTTATAATAAAGTCCAAGAATTTTAGCTCAACCTTCAATGCCTTATACAACCCAGGGCCCAAGCTCTCCCCAGCTTACTCTCTGCCCTGAGCCCTAGAGAAAAGAAGAATCTTATTACACCATCCAGCAAGTCCAAGGGATGGTACGGAATCACCACCTCATTTCGCTACAACCCACCACGTTTCACTGACAAAGTTCAGAGAAGTGGCAACTCACCTAAAATTGCAGCGGGAGTGACTGGCTGAACTCCCATTCAAGCTGAAGCCCCAAGCTTGGTTTCTGCTGAACTTGCCCTGGACTCTTCACACCGCTATGCCTTTGCATATGCTGAGTCCACCATCTGGAATGCCCCCTCTTCCTCCCTTTTTTTGTCAGATGAACTCCTATTCATCCCTTAATACCCAGTGCCAGCATTTCCTCACCTGTGCATCTTCCCCAGACCCTAGGTAGAGCCCTTATTGGCCCCTTTGGACTCTCTCAATCTTGGATTTCCCTTGCCACATAGAGCTGGATGTGTCTTGGAGGGTGGGACCAGGAGGGACCGTCTCACCCAGGAAAGCCTTGGTGAACTCCTTGGTGGCATGGTTGGCCATTTGAGCCAGCTGATCTTGGCTCATTCCTTGCAGCTGGGGGTGTGCAGGCTTCAGTTTCTGTAGCAGAAGGAGGGCCCCCCACACCTGCTGGGCCAGGGTGGGGGCAGAGAACAGAACAGCTCCATTCTGCCTTCGGAAGTTGCTGCGGAGCCCCGGCTCTCCGGCCACACCAGCTCCATAGTACTGGCTCAGCAGGAGGCTGAGGGGTGGCCAGGGCTCAGGGGTTCGGCTCAGATAGTCTCCCAGGAGTGCCCCATCCAGGGCACCATTGAGAAAGGCCATGGTGAGTGGCGTGGCTTTGGGTTCCAGGAGGGTGAAGGTCTGGGGGGCAAGGTGCTGGTCCCAGCAGCCCTCGGTTCCCAGGCCAGGATGACTCTGGGGTCCCTGGAGAAAAGTGAGGCCCAGGTCTATGGCCAGGGTGACTGCCAGGAGGCTGTCCACACTGGTGGGGATTGTGGCTTTGGTATCTGGTGAAGCAGCTTCCACATCTGGAAAGGTGACATCTGGTGAGGTCGCTGTGAGTCTTGGGGAAGTGGCTCTTACCTCTGGAGCGGTGGCTCCAACATCCAGAAAGGTGGTTGTGGCATCCTGAAGAGGGCCTGTGCTGTTCAAGGGCAAGTCCACCACTTTGCGCCCCTGTAGCCCTGCTTTCAGTCCGGCCAGCAGTGGCTGCACGGCCACGGTGGAGCCATCAGGTGCCAGCACCACCCCATACTCCTGCCCACCCTGTACACCATGGTGGGCCACTCTCTCCATCAGGTCTCGAAGCTCTGTGCTCAGCAGGTGGCGGTCCAGTTCCATGGCCTTGAGGCCCTGCCCATACAGCACGAAGCGGTGGAGAGAGTCATGAGGGCCGGTGTCCTGGGATGACAGTAGCCACGTAGAGGCCCTGGATCTGGCCTCAGTCTCTGGTGCCTTCTGTTCGAGCTCACCCAGGGCCTGGATGACGAACTCCATACGCAGGGGCAGGGAGGCTGTAGGAGGGGAGAGCCATCAGCCCCGTGGCCCAGCCCCTCCCCTCCTTGAATGACTGCCCCCCAGACCTCTGTAGTTTCTGAGTACCCCCATCTGACATCCCTGTGATCCCCCAACACTCTCCCTGTGTTGATGAGGAAACTGAAGCATACAGACAATGATTGTTCATGATGCACTAGGCCTTGGATTAAGGAGCTTGGACTGTCTGTGAGCCCTAGGGAGCCATGGCAGGATTATGAGCAGGGGAGGGACATCCTAAGATTGTTTCTTTGGCTGCCATGTGGAGAATGGACTTTTGAAGGATTACAGTAGGAAAGTAAAATATTATAATGAAATGTGCAAAGACCTGGAGTTAGAAAACTAAAAGGGAAGAACATGCTTGGCATTTCTCAAGGTGAAAAAAAAAAAAAAAATTAAGCCTCGAGTTGCAATATTAAAGGATCCTAAGGACAAAATATTGACTGGTACATGAAGCACCAAAAGAAGATGGAAGGAATACACAGAGTCACTGTATCAAAAAGAATTGGTTAATGTTCAACCATTTCAGGAGGTGGCATATGATCAAGAACCAATAGTATGGAAAGAAGAAGTCCAAGCTGCGCTGAAGGAATTGGTATAAAACAAGGCTCCAGGAATGCACAGAACACCCACTGACATGTTCCAACAAATGGATGCAGTGCTGGAGGTGCTCATTTGTTTATGCCAAGAAATTTGCAAGACAGCTACCTGGCCAACTGAATGGAAAAGATTGATATTTGTGCCCATTCCAAGGAAAGGTGATCCAACTGAATGCAGAAATTATAGAACTCTATCATTAATATGGCATACAAGTAAAATTTTGCTGAAGATAATTCAAAAATGGTTGCAGCAGTACACTGATAGGGGACTGAGAGAAATTCAAGCCTGATTCAGAACAGGGCATCAAACAAGGGATAGCATTGCTGATGTCAGATGGATCTTGGCTGAAAGCAAAGAATACCAGAAAGATGTTTACCTGAGTTTTATTGACTATGCAAAGGCATTTGACTGTGTGGATCATAACAAATTACAGATAACATTGGTAAGAATGGGAATTCCTGATCACTTAATTGTGCTCATGAGGAACCTGTACGTAGACCAGGAGACTGTGGTTTGAACCGAACAAGAGGATATTGACTGGTTTAAAATCAGGAAAGGAATGCATCAGAGTTTTATCCTTTCACCATATTTATTTATATGCTGAGCCAATAATTGGAGAAGCTGGACTATATGAAGAAGAACTTAGCATCAAGATTGGAGAAAGATCATTAGCAACCTGTGATAGCAGATGACACAACTTTGCTTGCCGAGAGTGAGGATGATTTGAAGCACTTACTGAGGAAGATCAAAGACTACAGTCTGTAGTATGCATTGCATCTCAACACAAAGAAAACAAAACTCTTCACAACTAGATGAATAAGCAATGTCATGATAAATGGAGAAAAGATTGAAGTTGTCAAGGATTTCATTTTACTTGGATCCACCATCAACGCCCATGGAAGCAGCAGTCAAGAAATCAGATGACATATTGCACTGGGCAAATCTGATGCAAAAGATCTCTTTAAAGTGTTAAAGAGCAAAGATGGCACATTAAAGGCGAAGGTATGCCTGACCGAAGCCATGGCATTTTCAATATCCTCATATGGATGTGAAATCTGGACTATGAACATGGAAGACTGCAGAAGAATTGATGCATTTGAATTGTGGTGCTGGCAAAGAATACCGAAAATATCATGGACTGCCTGAAGAGGGAACAAATCTGTCTTGGAAGAAGTGCTCCTTAGAATGCTCCTTGGAACTGAGAATGGCCAGATTTGGTCTTACCTGCTTTGGTCATGTTGTCAAAAGGGACCATTCCCTGGAGAAGGATGTCATGCTTGGTAAAGTAGGGTCAGCAAAAAAGAGGGAGACTCTAAATGAGAAGGCTTGACACAGTGGCTGTAAGGATGGTGTAGGACCGGGCAGTGTTTTGTTCTGATGCACATGGGGTTGTAGTGAATTGAAGCTGACTGGATGGTATCTAACAACAACAGAGTAGGAAAAGGGAGACAATGTGGAGATGAATGGTGAAGGGTGGGAGCAGCAGGAGGAAGGAAGAGGGCTGTGTCCCTGTATGCACAGGAGATAAGATGAGCAGTTCTTGGTGATGGACTGGCTTTAGGTGGGTTTAGAAGGAAAGGTGTCTTGAAGGATGCCTAGGGGGAGGAGCAGGTTGGGCCCACACCTTGAGGGAAATGTCAGCGGCTGACTCTGGAACCCAACTGGGTGGTGCGAATGGTTAATGTGCTCGGCTGTGTTGGAGGTTCGAGTCCACCCAGAAAGGCCTGGCAATCCACTTCCAAAAAACCAGCTATTGAAAACTGTGGAATGCAGTTCTAGTCCAACACACATGGGGTCGCCATGAGTTGGAATTAACTCAGTGGCAACTGGTTTGTGTTGAACAACAGCTGACATTTGACTAAATCAGTGCCTGAAACTGTCCTAAGTGACATATAACATAACTCATTTAATCTTTACAACCACCCTATGAGGTGAGTCCTTTTATAGATGGGTTACTTGAGACACAGAGAGGTCAAGTTACCTGCCTGAGGTCAGACAGCCAGGAAGTGGCAGGGCTAGGATTTGAATCCAAGAAGGCTTCATCAGCATACTCTCCACCTAGAATCCAGCTTCTTCCCCAGACAGTCCACATTATAATTCCTCTATTAACCTTTGTTCGGGAGCTTGGTAGCGTAGTGCTTAAGGCACTTTACTGCTAACCAGAAGGCTAGCGGCTCAAACCCACCAGCCACTCCTTGGAAGGAAGATGGGGCAATATACTTCCATAGTGATACTGCCTCAGAAACCCAAGGAGGGGTCACTATGAGTCGAATCCCACTCAAGGGCACATAACAACAACACAACAAAGCTTTGTTCGGCCCTAGGAGCTGGCCTCAGGCCTCAGGCAGTCACCTGCCACACCCAAGGCTGGTGGTTCAAACCCACCAGCTGCTCCCCTCCAGGTAGCCAGGCCATCTCTGTAGTAGCTCTGGTAGCATAACCCACCAGCCACTCCTCGAAAGTAGTGATACTGCCTTGGAAACCCAAGGAGGGGTTGCTATGAGTTGGGTCCAACTCAATGGCACATAACAACAGCAAAGCTTTGTTCTTCTCTCTGCCCCAAATGTCCTTCTCTGGTTCTCTACCAAGAAAATCCTACTTCTTCCTGTCCTAGTGCTACTAAAAGTTAGGGTTAGTTAGGTTAGTTAGGGTTTCTTCCAGGAAGCCTTCCCTGTTTTTGCTTCACTCTGCCCTGGTCTTACGAGGCTGGGAGCATCTGTGTTCTCAAATTGGAGGTTACTGGAAGGCTGGATGCATTTTTGGAGCCTCTGGCCTTGCTTCCACATAGGGCTGGGTAGTACTTCTGCAGACTCAAGAGTCCCAACCTAAGCACCTGTCCTCTCACCCACCTGTGCCAGGTTCTGGCCACAGCACCAATCCGAGCAGGATCCATAGGACACCTTGGGCCACCATTGTGGGGTTCTGGTTAACTTCAGTGGAGGTTCAGTGCTGCTGGAAGTACACAGGCATAGAGAACAGAGCAGAGCTTTTGGTCATGGTCAAAGTCCAGGGTGAATGACTTGCTGCCTCTGGCAGAGATATGAGCAGGAGGAGGCAAGGGGGAAGGGTCACCAGCCTCAAGTTCTTCACCATCTTCTCCTGTCTCTCTCACGTTGGGGTCAAGCATGGGAGGCACTGTGGAGGGACTAGAGGCCAGGTAGTTCCAACTCCAGCAAACTCTACCCATTCCCAGGAGAGGTAGAGTGAGGCTAATCCAGCAAGCCCTGCCTGTCCCATGGTGACAGCTTTGTAGCTGTCAGGTCCCTGCTGGACTTAGACTGGCTGTGCTGGAGGATGGGAGAGAAGGGACGACCCTGAGGTTGGTACCTCCTCCTGGCTTCCTTGGTCAAGATAATTCAAAAACAGTTGCAGCTGTACATTGACAGGGACCTACCTGAAATTCAAGCCAGATTCAGAAAAGGACATGAAATGAAGGACATCAGTGCTGATGTCAGATGGATCTTGGAAGAGGAGGTCAGCCGGGGCTGAGTCCTTGCTGAGGCCTGTTGGAGCCCACAAGGGACCAGGAGATGCCACCACCCACCTGGTTCCAGCTGTGTCTCCAAACCACCAGAGGCAGCTTCGAGCAGGGAGAGGGTCTGGGTGTGATAGTCTCTGGCTTAGTCCCTGAGCTTTCCTCTGGGCTCTACCTGGGTTGAAAGTGAGGGGTCTCCGTCTTTCGCGGGTACCTGATGGCAAGTTCCCAAAGGAGTGTGCCTGCCTCCCCTTTATTCTAGCATCAGGTGTGGCTGGGGCTGCAGTGTAAATTGCTTCACCGTGGGCCTCCCACCCCGAAACCAGCCCGGGGAATTTCCAGAAGACCCACCAGGCTGGGGACTTAGCACAGGGTGGGCCCTGGATGAACTGGGAATGCCCACGATGAGCTATGCCTGGGAGTTCCCCAGGGCTCAGCATACTGTGGAAACTCAGGGAGCAGGGGGAAGAGAGAAGAAGGGAGGAAGGGGGGCCACATCCCAGGGGAACCGAGGGGAAATCCTCCTCCAAGCTGGAGTTGGCAAGGATTTGGGTTCAGGGCTCTGCTGGCAGAACTTGTGGGCTGTGTGTCCATCTGCAAGAGAGACTAGGGTGAGGAGAGTGAGGCTTCTGCTTTGGACTCTAAATTTAAGGCAGTGCCCCAAACCCCAGTCATCAAGATAAATAATATTTTATTGTCCTTAAAAAAATGAATGCAAGAAGTCAATGATGTATGTTGTTGTTGTTGTTAAGTGCCGTCGAGTTGTTTCCGACTCATAGCGACCCCATGCACAGCAGAACGAAACACTGCCCAATCCCACGCCAGCCCCAATGATGTATAAAATACCAAAATTTTAGATAAAGATAGAATTTGTAACAGCATCATGCAAAGTTATGTGGGAGCTAGATGGAAAAGGAAAATCAGGAATTCTGATCCTATCTTTGTACCTTACTTGTCTCTCCCTAGTCCCAGCCCTACATCCACCAGGGAGGAGCCCCAGGAGATGAGGTGTGGCCATGCCATGAGATCTCCATCTTAGGCCCACCTAGCCTGGCAATGGCCTTGATTCAGGATCATGAACCCTGGTTTGCTCCTCTGCTCTCCCATGCCAATTAGCAGTGTGGGGTAGCCCTCATGGTTATGTTTGACCATCCATTATCCCCATTTTACCTAGGAGCAGGCTGAGCTCAGAGAGGTTAGGTAACTTGCTCAAGGTCACACAGCTAGAACTGGGGTGTGGCATGGGTGCTGGAAATGCAACCCTCACTGTCAGGGTCACAGTAATTATGACCCTTCATGCCAGGGCAGTATGTTCAGGCTGGCTGCTGAGCACATCACACTCAGAGATCCATGGGCCATCTAGATAGGCAGCTTGGAGTAGGGTTAACCTGTTGTATGTTCAGGCTGGCTGCTGAGCACATCACACTCAGAGATTCATGGGCCATCTAGATAGGCAGCTTGGAGTAGGGTTAACCTGTTGCCATCAAGTTGATTATGACTCATGGTGATCACGTGTTACATAGCAGAGGGGAGCTTCATAGGGTTTTCTTGGTGGTCGACTTCTATAAAGATCACAGCCAAGAAATTGCTATGGAGCTCAGTTCTACTCCATAACACCTGGGGTCTCCATGAGTCGGAATCAACTTAAAGGCATTGGGGCTTTTCTTTCTTTCAATGGAAACAGATTACCAGACCTTTCTTCTGTGGCTCTTCTGGGTGGGTTCAAACCACCATCCTTTGGGCTAGTAGCTGAGTACTTAACTGTTTGCACCACCCAGGAGCTCTGGAGCTGGTTTAGAAGGTGAGTTTAGAGCAGAGGCTGAGTGAAGTTCAATACAAGGAAAGGTCATAGCAGGGGACATTTCTTTTAGAGTCTCTCTAGGATTTGTGACCTCCCCCAGGAAGACTTCCTGATTGCCCCTTGCTACCCACTTCCCACCTTGGCTCCCTGGCTTCAGGTTCTCTCTCTCTCTCTCTTTTTTTTTTTTGCAGATTATATGTTATTCTTTTTTCTTTTTTTTTTTTTGAATTGTGATTTGGGTGAAAATTTACAGAGCAAATCACTTTCCATACAGCAGTTCACATACCCTTTGTCTCATGACATTGACTACCCCAATGCAACAGCTCCCCTCTCACTTCCTCTCAATAGTTACCTCTTCCCTGTGTCCATCACTCCATGCACTCCTGCCCCCTGAGCTGTCTTCCTGTGCATAAATAGGTCTTTCTCCCATGATTGTTCTCTCCAAGGAGCGTATCTACCTCAGGTAAATGTTCAACTCATATAACTGTCTTTTGTTTGGCTGGAAGCCACACGCGTGAGTTCAATTCCAGACCTGAAGGGCAGCTAGGGGCCATAGTCTCAATGGTTCCACCAAGCTCTATCAGATCAGTAAACCTGGTTCCCCCACACACACCTTTTTTTTTTTTTTCCCAAATGATTTTGAGTTTTGTTCCACATTGTTCTCCCTCTATCCAGGATCTCCTACATAGATCCCCCTCTGAATGGTTGACAGTGGTAGCCGGGCACCATCTAGTTCTTCTGGTCTCATGGTCATATAGGCTATGAGGTCATATAGGTACACATGGTGTACCAGTTGCCAGGACTAATTGTTTCCATGAATCTTTGGTTTTCTTCATTCTTCTTTGCTCTGGACAAGGAGAGACCCATCATTGCGTCTAGATGGCTGCTTGCAAGCTTTTAAGATCCCAGTCGCTACTTGCCAAAGTAGAAGGTGGAACAATGTTTTATGTAGTGTGTTAAGCCAATTGAGCTTGATGACCCCTGAGACTATGGTCCCAAGCCCTCAGGTCCAACTACTTGCTCCCTCTGGGTAGCTGGCTGTGACCAAGAAGTGACTTCATCCTTGTTGCTTGTCGCTCTACCATACACCTGGGAATTCTTACAGATCATACAAATACACTTATAGGACCACTGTCTGCCAACCCTATACATGGTCTTGGGTACACTCCCCGCTTCACAGACCTACCTAATAGTTCAGCCTGTCCACCCATCTATCCACCCCTATACCCGTGTTTGCCTTCACCGACAACGCAGTACTATATGTGCAAAAGGGTTCATCTTTGTTGTCTGTACCTCCCATGTACCTCTCTATGTCTACCTCTTCCTCAGTCTGGCTCCAGGTTCTTCCCTTTGACCCAGGCCTCAATTTGCAGCACTGGGAGTCACTGTGTGTGGTTCTCTGTCCCATGGTCTAGGAAAAGCTGAGTCCACGTGGGGCTCCCAGAAGTGCCCAGCTCAGGCCTAGGCACCAAGTAGGCAGCAGGGAGGGATTGCTGAGCACACCAAAGTGCTAAGTGAGGCTATGGGGTCACTTTGGAACCCACAGGCACACCTGTACACACACACATGCAGACACTAGCACACCCCAGGCACTTGAGCTGGGCTGGGCCTGGGAGGCATCAGAGAGGCCAGCAACCACCAAGGGATTACCCCCATCCCACACTTCCCTCCCACCTTCTGAGGTCCATCTGCCAGGCTAGGTCAAGGCCCTCCATGCTGCAGACCGACCAGGGGCCTCAAGAGAAGAGCCCCCAATTAGGCTGGGGCCAGCTCTAATGGAGGTATCCTTGACACAGATAGCCACAGCTGTGGGCCCTGGATCCAAGTGAGGCTGTGATCAGGGCCAGAGAATGGGGAGAAGGAACTTAGGACGGTAGGGCTGGGCCTGGGACCAAGCTAAGAGTTAATGATATCCACTAGGGTACCAGTCATGATAATAATAACAAAGATCCCAAAGCAACCTGGTTAAGATGAGAAGCTGTGATGTGCTGGGCTCTAAGTTTTTATATTTTAAATTTTTTATTTTTATTTTTTTTGTGTTGATTGTATACATAACACACCATTTTAACCATTTCTACATGTACAATTCAGTGACATTGATTACATTCTTCGAGT